ACAGTGTCGAGTCACCTAGACTGGTGGCCGCATTGCGACATGATCGATAGTATTCGATCTGCACTAATGAGGACTAGACACGTATGACATTGATCGCCACTCAGTGATCAATCAATTGTGATTATACCTCAGTCCTACAGGAGGTTAGTCACGGCTCGGATAGCTCAGTGGTAACGTCTCTGACTGTGAAGCTGGGTGACACAAGATCGAATCCGCCAGGGAGCACCAGTTCCCTCAAGATTACAGGTGCACTTTGCTGACGAGTGCCAAGTAGCACGAAACTCGGGTCCAGGGTTTCCTGTTGACTACCTCTAGCCACCATCTAAAACGCTGAGTTTGTCAGTCGACACACTAAAGTCCGACAAACAGGAATCCATCGGGAACATGCACTTTGTCTTGTCCGATTAGCGTTATTCCAACGACACAGATGACTAGTCACACTGCAAGGCATTGCGTAGTACTTGTACTCAGGAAAAGAAATGGGACAGAATAACTCATCGACCTCTTCCAGCGATGTCAATGGAATGTGACCGTAAAGAAAAGGGATGACATGAATTACGTCGCATATTCCCGATCAGGATCTGTTTTTACATGAAAAATGGAGTGCCACAAGGCTCATTTATACGACAATTTCTTTTCTTATTATTCACTAATGACCTGTCTAACTATCTCAACTCTCAACATCTTCTGTTTACGGGTAGTCTTGAGGTGTAGAGCTATGTAGCTGACTCAGTTGATACACTAACTTTGTACTTAATTAGGATTCAAGGCCGGGCCACAAAAAACCTTCTTCTCAACAACAATGAATACAGAAAGTTAATGATAAACAGAAGTGATACTCCACCCACCTCGTACTTCTTAGGAGATTCTAGTATCAAATTTCTCATCACCGAAAAGGGCTTGGTTATCAGTCTGCGTGATAATTTGGTTATCTGCTACTATTGTCAATCTGCAACCAATAAATCATACTAGCTCAGTTTTTTTTCTGGAGCTCTTGGTATTCTGACTTTGGATTCATTTAAAGGTTTTTCACAGTTTACTTGAAACGTCGTCTCGTAAAACCTCGATAATACGTCCCCTTACCTTGAGAAGGATATTGTTCATCTGAAAAATGTCCAAAGAAGTTCAGTTAAAAAGGTACTTGAGTCAAAAATATAATCCTACTTGGCTCATTCGGAAGCTATGAAATTGTGGTCAGCGAAGTAAAGTTTAGGGGGGATATGATTATAAAGTACCACAACGTTCATAGTCTATCCATCCGAATTAACTAATTACGTGTTCAATTAATAAGTCACATTTATGAGGACGTCTAGTGAATATAGGGACACGAAAACCTCACACAAAAGTAGGGAAAGTATTTTCGTGATAAGTTTGGGTACTCACTATGTGAGGCTACTGAGATGAGCTTCTCCGATAAATCCTTCGAAAGAAGGCTCTAAAGATGTCATGGGTATTCGGAGTTTTACAACGCCTTTATACACAACAACTATCAATGTGTCGAGAGACGTTTGATATAAGCTGGCTAACATTTGCAACGGATACGCAACACAGCGCACTCACTGGCGTTCGGCTGTGGATGTGTGACCTAAAGCCTTCAGTCAGGGTGCTTTCAGTAAAACTAATGAGATCATCATCAAAGTCGAAGACTTGCATAGCTATTCGTTTTGAGGATTTATTTACCTTAACAACTCAATGATTACTTTTGTTTCGTAGGTATTTTGAGGATTACGAAAAGTTACTCCCAGATCACCCGTATTATCGACTAAATTATAATGCCCTTCACATTGTGGAGGGGATATAGCAATAATTTTACCTCTCCGTGAACAACAGAACACTGCAACTACCCAAGCGCAAATCACTAGGATCAAACTAGTCAATAATTCTGTCTAGAGATACTAAATGTTAACCCTAACGTGATTTGCATATCTCAAACTTTTGCTGTGCCCTCACTCAACAAAAGTACCAATTTTGATTCAAAGAATCTGTCCTGAGCTTAACGTTTGGTACATTGCTTTTCCTTTTCGATTTTACCCAAGTTAATAGTTAACTGTGGTTTCGCCTCAGATTACTATTCGGTTTTTCAATTTCTCACGTCAAGTCTAGTTTTAGTGTATCCCAACCTTCTGTACCACCCGTTTTATCAATTTTATCCGTTTTGTGAATGCTGTTTTTTGTCTCACAGTCGTACAGTTTTGCTAAGATCTACTGATCAATTCACATCACCATATTCATGAAGCATTTATGCAAGCGACCCGCATACTGTTTTTCTGTTACATCTGGCATTTAGTGTGTATTCTGAGCGAAATCCCATCCGAAATATTCCTGAGAAATCTAGCAAGACGTTTTTTAATGGAAGGAATATCATTGCATAGGATGTGCCAGAAAAAAAAAGGACCCTGATCACACAAATTCGAGAATGGAAATTCATCAAGTAATCCTTGAAGCTAAAATACATATTCGCTCAACATGTGGTGAGACTAACCAAGAAGAACGGGGATTCTAGACCCCGATAGATGAGGATAAACTTTCCATCCTCCATATAGTGGCTTCAAATCTCGAGGCGTTTCGTGCCAACAAACGCCGGTTGCCATATGGAATACATATGCATTGGGATAGGCTACATGGTTCAAGGATCAAGCAAACAAGCAAATTCGGGTTGACTGTTCCACATGTGAACTTTTAAGACAATGAAAAAAGCATAGAAGGGATAAGAGATACCAACTGGGAAAACCCTGTGTAGGTAGGTTACCTATCTATTCACATAATGCTCATACAGATAAACAGAACGGGGAACCTCACGCGTTCCAAATTGAAAGCATAAAATGTTTATATACGAACGCCGCGAGTTTATCGAATAAAATGGATGATCTGCACGAACGCATCAACGCTGACAATACTCGTGTGATAGGAATATCTGAAATTTGGATATCTTCTCAATTTATGGACCAGGAGCTGGCAATACCGGCATGTCTTTGTTTCGCAAAGACAGAAATACAGGAATAAGGGGCAAAGTAGCATTGCATCTGCCATCTTGTCTAGAGGTACATCAAGTGCACAATCAAGAGTTTATCAGTCTTGATGAACCCGTATGGTGTTCAATAAGGTTGTCTACCACCAGAAGATGTCTAGTTGGAGTCGCCTATAGGAAGCCCGCTTCCCATATCGAGTACGACAATTGTAGGTTAGAGGGATTATCCCGCTCTATTAGTATCAGATTCGCTCATATCCTGATTCTAGGAGACTTCAACCTTCCTAAAGTCAATTTCGCGGAACATACGTATACTGGTGGTGGAAAATCTACTGAAGCTCGTTTCCTAAACCTCATTGAGGGCTTGGAATTATTCAAAAATGTGAAGTTAACAACCCGTCGGAGAAATAGTCAGGCGCTTCTGCTCCTAGACTAAGTATTTAAAGACGAAGAATTTCTAATTGGTAATCTCTCATTCCTTGCTCTTATGGCGAAAAGAAATCATGTCGTCATAGCCCACAGGGTTCATTGCTAGGACCTCTTCTTTCTTGATTTACATAAACGATATTCTGCCACAAGTGTCGTTCGATTTATTATTTTTCGCTGATGATGTAAAACTCTGGAGAGAAGTACGTAACCACGATGTTAAACAGGCACTTCAGCAGGATCTGACTCGACTTCAAATTTGAGCAAATGACAACGGATTTAAGTTTAACACTTCAAAGTATAAAGCGGTCCATCTGACACATGTTGCATACCTAAGGGGTAACCCAGAAACTACAGACAACATAGCGGTACAGACTGTAGACATAATTCTTACTCCTTAAGAGTAGTTAAGTGCTGAAATTCGCTTCCGGCCAAGTCAATTTAAGCGACTTCCAAGTTGTCCTTTGAGAGAAAACTTGACATATTCTTTAGGACTAAGGACAGTATCTTACTCTGGTTTACAAACTTTTCTTTTTCTTCTTTCATCGTTAATATACCTAGGTTTATGCCTGGAAGCGTCGGTGATCCACTGCTACCAGATAGGGAATCCCGTTAAGCTAAGATCAATTCTATTACGTCCTGAATCATTTGAAGTTAAAGTTTTGAGGTTTGTAATAGTGGAGTGCCCCAAGGTTCAGTCCTAGGTCCTTTACTTTTTATAATGTACGTTAATGATCTTACAAGTCTCCAATGTTATTATACGCTGACGATGTAAAGATTTGGCGAGTAATTACTGGAAACAAAGACGCATTTACTCTTCGGGCAGACTTAAATAATATGGTAAACTGGTCTAAAGAGTGGCTGATGCCTATCAATGCGGAAAAGTGTGTCTACATGCACTTGGGGGATTCAAAGGTTAATAAGTACAACATAAGGGATGTGTCATTACCCGTAGTTCGGTCTCATAAGGATCTGGGGGTAACAGTGACTAATGATCTTAATACGACGGCCCACTACCGGGAGGTCGCAGCCAAGGGGTTTCGAACCTTATGAGCTTTAAAAAGGACATTCACCAAGTTAGATACTACCATGTTCACCACAGTATACACATCCTTAGTGAGAACTAAGCTAGAGAACTGTGTACAGGCTGCAAGCCCCTGTTTATAATGTGACTCGGACATACTAGATACAGTACAGAGGGCATCTGCCCGTGCAAGTCCGGAACTCCGAGGTTTATCATAAAAAGAGTGGCTTGAAAAACTGAACCTCTTTACTCTGTCCTATCGCAGACTAAGGGAAGATTTAATTTTGATGTACAGAATAATGAGAAATGATTTCGTAATTAACTTATTCTCCCTCTTTTTTCCCACCAGATCGGGACACCTCAGAGGACATAGCAGGAGAGTAGACAAGCCAAGAACGAACAAAACTCCAGTGGCATACAGGTTTTCACACCGAGTCATCAATACTTGGAACTTGCTGCCTGAAGCAGTAGTGTCCGCACTTCAATTGACTCTTTAAAGAGAAGACTGGACACTCAAAGAAGTATACTAGAAAAGGAATAAAATAGGCCGTAGGCCTTCTGTCCTTACTATACAAATCTGAATCTGAATCCGAAAGGCGGGATTTCTGACACTGGCGTTACGTAATGGTTTCAACTGATGGTAAAGCAACAATCTTAAACTATGTCAGGAATTGCTTTGCATCTGGAGATGATTCGGGATTTTGCGAAAAATTACTTAAAAAAGTTAAGGATGTCACAGATGAAGAAATTGAAAATATTTTAAGTGGACAGTAGTAAGTTCTAGTATTCTTTCCTGTTTTTAATGATATATTTGTGTAAGTTTTAATGAAGTTGTAAACACGGACTCCGATGATTTTTATAGACACTCCCCAGAATGTGCCTTTGTACCTTGTGAAGGTTTGTCTAGTTCTCACCCCCTTATTTCAATCTTCAGATCCGTTAAGCGCGTTTTACTCCTCCATTAATAACTTTGAGAATTCTCAGCAGTCATCCTTTTCACTTAAAAGGAATGCATCTAATATTCGACAGCTTTCCGGTAAGTTATTTCTATCGTTATCAGATTTCCTAGTCTTCAGCATTCTAGTCTAAACAGACGGATAATTTTGTTATTCTCCTGATACAGGATTGCCTCTTCGTTAGGGAGGACTTTTCGTCTCAAACTGCGTTTGGCTTAACTTTACTCTGAAAATACATTTGTCCAGTCGTCTTGTTGAGAACTTGATTTATTAGCATATAAACCGTTACCCATAATAACTCCATCTTCTACACCTGTTCTCTGCAATCGCGTCAATTTAAAGGGCTCGTTTTATTGATGGTTGTCTAACTCACCACGGCCAAAGTGATCATTGTAGCTTATGAGTTCGACTGTCAGCTGAATGTTAGGTATATTGCCTACAGTTTAAGTTGAGTGAGTAGAATGTCATCTCTATGCATCAGTAATCTTAAAATGCACGGATCCCAACTTTTCATTAAAATATTCTACATTATTTCCACTGACACAAATGGGTTGTGATAGATTTTACTGTTACTAACTTTTACGATAAAAAGTCTTAAGAGGGTAGCTATTCTTATTTCAGCTCTTAGTGGTGAATAAATCATTCTAATAAACAGACTTTTACCGCCACTATTGTTGTGGCTACTGTTTAGCTGAGGAAGTGGACGCGTATTTCCCATCAAAACCGATAGTCCGCACAAACAAACCAGATACAACAATAAAATCAGAAAAATCTGGGTTGACTTTGGCACTAGAACAAGCTAAGCTGAGTGGACATTTAAAAAGAAATAAACTATTCTCTGATTTTGCTATCTACGATGCTCGGTCAACACTTGGTACAAATCAGCATGTTCCAGATGGTCGCTTTCCCAATGCAAACGTAGATCCTTCTCTGCGCCAGTTCAATGTTTGGCTCTGGAGGCTTAATGGCTTCCCGCGCACGTCAATTAAAGTTCAGCCTCGAGTGGGTACTACAGTGCAACAGTTTATGGGGCTTACTTTATGGCAGTATTTTAATGAGTTTTCAACATCTGACAATGATTTGACACTTGTGCCAACTCAGTTAGATGATTTAGACGAGTAAGTTTTAAGCATTGCTATTGGAGTCTAGCTACATGCATGATTTTTTTAAAATCTTGATTATGTGTCGTGTTTATCCTATTTAACTTCATGTAAATTTTTGAAACACTAGTTAGTTTTTATTTGCAGGATAGTGATTAGCTGACGAACAATCTTATCGCACGTAAGGATAATCTGTGAGATCACAAGCAGACTACTAAGACTAATGACAGTAAGAGCAGACAACGAAATCTTTACAAACACTATTTGTAACAAAGTAGACAGCAACAAAAAGTCTGTTCAAATATTTTTCGTTTATAAGATAAATTGTAGCAACTATGAGGAATTTCATCTAGTGAAACTTGAGGTCTCTCGATCTGTATGTACGTGAATATCAGCAAGCTGTTAAACACAGCGACTTACATTCACTCCTATCAATACATATAGACAACTACGAGGATAATTCTTATTTGGAAGGGTCACAAAATTGTACAGAGGAGACAATAAAGCTCCGAGTTTTAAGAGGTATGTCACTAAGGTCACTCAGCAGCCGGTATACGCATTAAAGTACGTCCAACCGACGGAAATAAGAAATACAAAATCAAGGAAGAAGACAACCGACATAAATGTGCAAACAATATGAACATAGTTACTAACAGCAAGTAGTGAAATCCCATATCGGGAGAACAAGTGACTAGTCATCTGCGAAGGTTGTTTGGTAGCTGACTTCCTGTTGTGACGCATGTGCTGATGAACTCTACGAAGGCTTCATAATTATATCATCTGTCTTAGAGAAAACAACGCATTTGAAATAAATACTGATATTGAACTATGTTTCAAGTCACTTTAAGTTCATGAAAACTAGTAATGCCGTTGTTCGACTGCTCAAACCGAAGTAGGTGGATTGGGATTGGGATGTACAAATCAGTGATTGGAAGCTTTAATTACTAAACCCGATGCTTGGTTATCGCTTATTTGCTACATCTACTACTGTGAAATTCTCTATAACAACTTCATGTCACTATGTTGATGGATTATAGCAACTTAAACAGATATCTGCGTATGCCAGGTTCTACATTTCGTATGATTAACTGACCTCGTATTTTATTTATTGATTTAGATCATTTTTAAACCGGCTGGCTTTACACATGTTTGATACACTGGATGGTGAATGTGACGATAATGAAGATGTAGATTCAGAATTTCCACCGCTTGAATTGAATGATCCAATTCATAAATATGAATTTAAGTCATTTGCCCTGGTTGAACGAGTGGAAACACCATTGGCAGAGGCATCAAAGAAAGAAATTTCGCATGTGTTAGTCACAATGTAAGTGTGTGGATTTCTGTGTGTATGACTACAATTTTCTGTCATGTATATAATGGGGGCTGATAATTTTTGGTGAGTACTTTTGTTAAAATGATCTACAGAATATTGATCGATGGATGTTACTCATCATATTATTTAGTACGAACTATAAACTAAGCTATAATCTATAGTATTAATATTGTAATCAAAATATTTGGATATTACTATTCATTGTGGTGATTGATATAATGATTCAAATCTCCTGTCGGACTAACCAGAAATTTGGTTCCAGTTAATGGAATATTTAGTCCTCAAGATTTTTCACATGCTTAGAAATGTTATGAGACTGTAGGGGTATCGCTATGAAATTATAAACACCGCACAAAATGAATAAACAGTAAAGGTAAAGGTTGTATAATTTGAAAAAATGAACAAAAACAGTGTTTTGCGAAATATATGGGTCAGTTTTTAAAATACAACTGAGATAGGTTTCATTAAAGTAGGAAATTTCATCTAACTCTTATGGGGAATTTATTAGAATATTACTGCAGCATCCCCATCGGCTTTTATCCTAAATCATGTTTGATAATGTCCCGAGTTGCATGGCTTGTAAGGATACAACTAAAGCACTGTGATGGACCAACAAACCCAAACCCTATCCGGCTTTCTTTCATTCTACAGCGTCACATCCAAATTGATGACTACGTACGCCCCGCTCCCGAGACACCGAATTTCATTTTTCACTGGTTATAGTATCTTGAAAAGTTGTTTAGTACTGACTAAAACATGATATTGTTACATCCCGAGCCTCTTCGTTTAAATTTTGTTTCAGTCGTAGTAGTTATATTTAGAAAGACCAATGATAACCAATCAGTCGGTCAGCTACAACGTAGGACCAGGCACATACATGTATCGGTCCAAGTTGCCACTCCTCATTAGCACAACAAGATGAACACTGAATTCATAGAAGTAGTTACTTCACTGGTGGTAATATATAAAAGAAAGATTGCATATAAGGATATAATACAGGAAGAAAGAATTAGTTCGTAGAAAGAAAGGTTTAAAGTAATCTCATAGTTGAAGGGAGGACAGAGAGTGTGTACACCAACACCTTTGTGATCGATTCTGAGCCATTTCACCCACAGTCTCCAACGTGGACCCTAACCAATTAGTCTGCATCTACCAACATGGCTAAGACTAGAAGTTAGGGACTTCAAGAACTGATGCCACATTTTGGTTTGTCCACACCTAACTTTCTCCCAACCATCTCCAACACTGGTCAGCATTGCGCGTCGTGGTAGGCGGTATTCAGGCATGCGTAACACGTGGCCCAACCACCTCAGTCGATGAATATTTACAACCTCATCAACTGAATTACCATCATTCCCTAATACCCTGCGTCTAACCTCACTATTACTTACCCGAATGATAACCAATATTTACATATAATTGTAGCTGACGTTTTCTGTAGAATTAGTTTAGATATAAATACTTTTTTCTTTGACTAAAACATCATAATTTTGTTAATCGAATTCTCAACAATTCCCTTAAATACAAATATAGACATATGGCTCAAGGTATGAGTGTACTCCGATTCCCATCGGATACGTGTCTAAGTACAGTGTTAGAACGTGCTGTATATCGTCGTCGTCTACGCCAGCATGGTGGTTATGCTTATCGATTGGAACTTTGGCCACGGAACACAGACCAACAGAACAACAATACAAAAAGCAATAATTTTCCATTGAATAAAAATTCGCAGTTAGATATGAGTAAACCATTGAGTTATTTTATTGCTGCTGGTTTGCCCTTACACTTTCTTCTTGTTCGTGAAAGCAGTAAGTGTCGAATATTTGGATAATGTCAATCTTACTGCTTGGTATTTTTTGAACATAATACTTCACTCGGTCAGTCCTAAAACAGAACACAAGTCATAAGCAAACGACATTATACTCCAAAAATTCCAACAATAAAAGTAATTTAGTAAAAAAACCGTTAAAGTTTATACAAATTTTACTTATAAATCCTCCCTTAACTTCTCATTCCATTTAGTTCTGAGTGGTTGGAAAGTGAATGAATCAACGCACTGGACTTGACCTTGACTTGGACATGCAATAGTCAAGATCGTATCGTGCTAACGATTTCCGCTTGTCTTTATTAGTAAGAATGGAGTGCTGGATAGGCCTATATTGATCCCCATAGTTTATAGTATTATAAGAATATCCCAATGTTAAGCTTAGAGTGTCATTAAGTGCTAATACCATATGTTTTGACACAGGATTTTAGTAGTGCACACAAAGGCGTGAAAAATTCGACGTTAGTTTTATTAAGGCTCCTGAAAATGCTCCTTCAAATAATCAGTCGGTTCAAGTTGTCAAATCTTACATCAGTACATCAAGAGAGGAAATTAACCAGGGTATGAAACAAAATGAAAAATAACCGTTATTTACTGTCAGTGAAAGTTATAATTCAAAAATAAGACCGACGAACGAGCTCATTCGGACCTCTGGGACTTGTTTTGGGTTAAATGACACATACGGTTTTCGACCATAGATTGGTTTAAGTTGCAAAGTTGTAAACTGTTACCGGCCACATCCAACATCTAGTAACTTTATGAACTACTGTTCCTATAACTTTGGTTGTCTTAAGCTTTTTCCTAACATACTCGTATGGTATTCATCATTACGCGTCCAGTAGAAATTATGGCTAGGCTTGTGTAACTCAGACATTTAGCACAATCATTTTTTCAGTTCAAACTGACCACATTTTCAATATCAGTGCATGTGATATTCGTTGTTTCTCTAAACGAGATCAAGAGCAGTTCCAGTAGAAACTTTCAAAAGTATTTTAACGTAAAAACATCAAAGGTTTCAAATGGTCAAAAAAAATGATCTAATTTTAGAGAAAGCAAGTTAGGTTGTTATTCATTTTTGTCAGTTCTTACGTTATTTTATAAATAGCTGACTAGTTTGTGAGTTATTAGTTCAAATTAAATTGTAAATAGTAGAGTCCAGGTTATTGGCTTTTAATTCCTTGTCTACTCAACTGTCATATAAACTCAACTGAACTTTAAATTATCTTGAAGCATGATGATGTGTTAAAATACAAATTGCTTTCATCTTTTTCATGCAACTGTAGCCTTTTTCATCATTTGCCTGATTATTGTAAAATCCAGAACTGATGATTAATAGTTCAATCTCATAATATTGTAGCTAATGGGGATTAGTAGTTCCAAGATCAAGTATCCTGTATGTCTATTATTCAAATCCCATCCAATATATCGCCAATATTCTTCTACCTAGAATTATCATTCACGTAACAACGCACACATTTTTTCCTCGTATTTGTTTGTTTGTTTTAATTTAGGTCGGTGTGATACAGCTCTTTCAGATCAAAACGATGATATTGAAGCAACAAAGTCATCAGAATCGATGTTAGCGTTAGATACAACATTAGAACCAGTTCATACAGCTTTACATTTAAGACAATATCAGGTGACTTATTTAAAAGGTCTTTTTCCACCTGAAGTTCAGTTAAGTATGTTATTTTTTCCTTAATCGTTAAATTGCTGTGATTTTTCGTGATTTTATTGTTGGTTAATTGTACTTGGCATACAAAATAGTAATGGCAATAGCTATGTATAGCTGTTACCATGATTCTATAGTTGAGTTTATCTATTGTGGTGATATGTCAAGGTGTATTGGCTCTAACAGTTTCCCCCTTACATTCTTCTATACCACCCAAATCATTTTTTAAAGTGATATAACCAAAGATATGAAATCTCAGCTTCAAGGAATAAGTCATACTGATAAATGTACTGGAGTGTAGTAACAGTAATTAGTTTTCTATTGGTAACCAGCATCTCGAGTGGTACTGTCTCCCGATAGATAAAAGGAGTGGGGTTAGAAAAGCTACATATTAAGAAGAATAAAACGCCTCATCGTTGTCTCACCGATTTATATTGTCGATGCTACGGTTTATAAAGCACATGACCTTATATTATTAAGTTGAAAAACACTTAATTACAGAAGACTATCTATGACTGAAATCAATTAGTCATTATATAAACTATGTGGTCACCCTTATGGACCGGTGCTAATCTAGTCTTTTTCAGGTTTGCCAGTAAGAGAGTTGACTAACAGTTATTGTATCTACCACCTGAACTAATCGTGACAATAGCAGTCGATTTCGTCTGTCACGAATAGTTGGGACTTACAGCATAATATATTAATCTTCTCTGGTTTATACAGTTGATTTAGTCATAAATATAATATTTTCGATTAATCAGTCCATCATAAACAGTACTGACCTTAGCAGCATACATGTGCATCAATCCTAGTACCCACAAAACACCTTAATAGCGAGACTAAATTCATATGATCCATAGCAAACAGTTCAAAATAATAGTAGTGTTGAATATCGTTGACGATTCTAAAAATAGAAAATATGTCTCGAAAAGAAAAAAGAGTCTGTGGACGAAAAACTATGGAATAGAATTTTGGAAAAACCAACACAAAAGATAAAAAAATAAATACTTCCACTCAGTAGTGCGGCTGATTCTGAGCATTTCATTTAACATGCCCAGCTACTGATCAGAATTATTGCACAAAGTCCATTCAAGAAGTTTGATTCACCATTCCAACAGTCATTGATTTCATAAACTGACCCCAAATTTTGATTTGGATGCTTTTAGTTTTCTTCTAATGCAATTGTACACGAGCTAGGATTTACAGTTGATTGATCACTGGGTGGTGATCAATGTCATGTGTATCAGGTCCTTCCTATCGATCAATTCGCGATGTGGCCACCAATGTAGGTGAGTCGACATTGCATGCAGTGTGTTGAGATAGGATGGTGATTGGGGTTAGTTCACGGGGAATACCAGATGTAGGTTTCATGCTATTAGGCACTCGTCAGCGAGGTTTATCTGTTACAACTTAGGTTTACATACCCATTTAGGCTTCCACACAACATGCAAGATTAATTCCTCAAACACATCACCAGATACACTAGCAATTCTTATTACATCCGTAAACAAATTATTCTAGCTTTTGGATGTATAATAAATCAGATAGCATTTAACTGTTAGGTTATTTTTACCTTCTTACAATACCGTTTCTCCTAAATAATTCTGACCTTTTACAGATGTGCTTTTCTCATTCGTTTCCATGTTAATTATATTCATATATGTTATTGTGTGCTTTGTTTATGCGTATATCTGCATTGCATTCTCTACTCTATGTATGTGTGAATTATGTACGAGTCCATTAAAAGACTCTCCATACTTCATTTGCTTATTGACTCTCTTGGTTTGTCTGGTCATACGAATGCCTGAAGTATATGTACCCGTAGCATTCGCGTCCCGACTTGTATTCTGAACCTGTTATGTCAATAAGATGTATGCGAATTCAGTAAGAATTTATAATTTACTATCGTCATTGTTCATCATCAATGGAGTCAGATTGCGCTGCTTTCGCTCAACTTTGGATGTAGAATAAGTGACTGCCTCGTAAGTTTAGGCCAACAGCAGGAGCCCTCATCGGTCACCGGTAGGTTTGTTCTGTCATAGCTAGTCGAATGGAAACGTGGCTGACACTGCATAGCGTGGTTCTCAAACGTTTAATGATACCAGCATATCTCTGTGTTCCTGCGTCTACTGTTCTATCTATTTTTCACGTTTCTATGTACATTGTGATAATATTGGTGTGTGTGTGCACACCTCTGAAGTTTGTCACGTTTAAGCGTAAAGTGTAAAATCGTTTTCGAAATAGTCTACTCTATCTGTCGTTTGTGTTTTTTGATGGTACTATTCGAATTAGCTTGTGTGTGTGCACTCTCAGTTAATCTATCGATTCCAACCTCTGATTAACCGAACAATGTTATTTTATCATTTTCATTTGAGGCGGTTACCATGGTATGCATACTTCTATCACTAATACTCCTATACTTTCATATTCAGTTAGATTGTTTTGTTATCTAAACATTGAGGTAAGCGCCTAGCCTTTATGTCACTAAGTTAGCGTCCAATGATTTACATGTTCAACTTCAATTAATTAACGATCTTGTACAACCATCTCCATTTACCATTAGTGGGCAATCGCTTCACATCTGACATGGTTGAACTCAACTGGATACGATCTCTCACTTACAGCTTCAGTAATTGTCTATCGTAATTAGTCAATGACGAGCGCATTATTATTAGCGAAGTAGAGCATTTATAGACTTATTTACTTACATCTGTTACTCCTCGTGGGGAAGTATAGGCCGTCCACCAGCACTCTCAATCCAACCCTGTCCTGGGCAATCCTTTCTAGCTCTTTCCAGTTGCTATTCATCCATTTTTACGTCTGCTTCCAACTATCAATATATTGTGTTCTTTGGTGTTCCTCTTTTTTATTCCCTTTCAGCGTCCCAAGTTAGTGCTTGCCTCGTGATGAAATTTGATCATTTCCTTAATGTATGTCCTATCCACCAACTCCATCACCTATTCCTAATTTCCTCTTCAGTTGGAAGCTGGTTTGTTCTCTCCCACAGAAAGCTATTGCTGATGGTATCCGGCCAATGGATGTTTAGTATCTTACGTAGACAACTATTTATAAATACTTGTACTTTCTTGATGATGGTTCTAGTAGTTCTCCAAGTTTCAGCTCCATACAGTAGAACTAACTGTCTTGATGTTCGTATTGAAGATTGTGACTTTGATATTAGTTGACAGACAGTTGTTTTGAGTTGCATATATTGTTCAATTTTAGGAATGCTATTCTTGCTTTGCCAATCCTCACCTCTACGTCTACATCAGATTCTCCTTGTTCATCGATGATGATGCTTCCCAGGTATGTGAAGTATTCCACATCTTCCAGAGTTTCGCGTTTACTAAGATTGCTGAATTTTATTGTTTACTTCACAAATCGATCATAATTCATTAGGTAGTCACCATTATACAAAACTATTCAATGTTTACTGGTCTACAATGATTATTTAACTAGCAGCTATGTAATTTATTATCGTAACTCTACAGATGTGAAGGCGCGGATCGGCAAAGCAAGAGCAGCTTATTTACAATTGAAGAATATCTAGAACTCAAAGCAACTGTCAACGAACACCAAATTCAGAATTTTCAATACAAATGACAAGACAGTTCTACTGTATGGGGTGGAAACTTGAAGAACTACGAAAGCCATCATCCAGAAGATACAAATGTTTATTAACAGTTGTCTACGCAAAATACTTCACATCCGTTTACCAGACACTATCAGCAACAACCCAACTGTGGGAGAGAACAAACCAGATGTCATCGGAGGAAGAAATCAGGAAGAAGCGCTGAAAGTGGATAGGACACACATTGAGGAAAGCACCGAACTATGTCACAAGGCAAGCCCTCATTACTTAGAATCCTCAACTCGAAAGGCGAAGAGGAAGACCAAAGAACACGTTACGCTGAGAAATAGAGACAGACATAAGAAGGATAAACAAAAATTCGACAGAATTGAAAAGGAAGGTCCAGGACAGAATAAATTGGAGAATGTTTGTCGGTGGCCTATACTCCATTGAGAGTAACAAGCTTAACTATGTAATGTATTATAAATGATCATTATAACTCCTACAACTTATCTATCATCACATTTTTCTCTTTATTTCTAGATATTTCATCAAATGAATTAAAAATTGAACAAAAACGTCCAAAATTATTTTCTAAATTAATGAAATCAATTATTATACAAATTAATACAATTGCTGATTGTGAATTAATCACTAATGGATATTCAACTTATGGTATAATGGATAAATCATCTATTACAATCCATAATCATCCTCATCATCATCATCATAATATTGATGAATCAAATCTAAAATCTTCTGGTAATTTATGCGCAGATTATGTAATAGGAGGAAATCATAAAACATCAAATCATAATAAACATTCTATAACAACTGAACAATCATCCAAATCATTTTTATCACATAAAACACAATTTAGAATTGTTTATATTGTAAGTGGGAATCAATTCAATTTCATTGTATTCTGATTATCATTGAAATCATGAGTTCATTGAAACTAGACCAAATGCCCTGGTACGGCCGAGAGTGGAGAGAGTCCGCTCTCCCTCTCGAAATGCTCTCACACGGCCACGCGTATATAGCTTCTGCCAGGGAAGTCCTACTCACTACCTTCTCGTGGCGGGGGTGTTGTTCACGAAAATGAGAGGACGAAAATCGAATGTCTGGCGCTTTAACCGGATTCCAAACCAATGGTGCACATGGGCTCCAGTATCCTGCGGGAACAAGTGGCGTATGAACCAATCGTTGGTCACCGGCTACCATGGGACTGCATCTCCTAACGTTGTTCCACTGCCTTGTGGATCAGACCTTCAGGTCGAAGGCTCGGGGGGTGGACCCCTGAGAAAACCACCTGATTCGGTTTGGGCACCCAGGCAGTATTACAGCCCTCACACATATCGAATGAGATTTGTGTGGCGTATATGTATTTGGTGCCTCCTTGTACCAATATCAATGTGTTAAAATAAATAAATAAAATAAGACCACTATGGAAAACCTGGAATTAGTGGATGACTGTTTCGTTCTAGTATGGGACTCTTCAGCAGTGCGCATCCACGATCCCGCCCCCAGCGAGGTTTGAACCCAGGACCTATTAGTCTCGCGCGCATTCGCTTAACCATTAGACCACTGAGCTGGCATCTAATGGTGTTAATGTCTAACCTCAATTAATCCACGAAATTACACCACCGTACACCATTGTCTTCAGTGAGTTGATATCTCACAATAGACCTGATTGAACTCCACTGGTAATAGCTTCTCATTAGAAATTCAGGAGCTTCCTCTTGAAGTCAGTCACTAGTGAGCAGTTGATTATTATCAGAAGGGGTTTTGTGGAGATTTTAGTAATTTCAATACTTGAGATCATGAGCCAATTAAAGCTAGACCACAATGGAAAACGTGGAATCACTAAACTGCCGTTTCATCCTGATATGGGACTCTTCAACAATGCTCCCGTTGGATCATGGACGCACACTGCTGAAGAGTACTATAGTAGGATGAAACAGTCGTCCAGTGCTTTTAGACTTTCCATGATGATCTAGCTTACATCGACTCATGAATTCAAATATAAAATATATTTCTTAATTAAAATATTCTAAATAATTAACCCCTTCGATAAATCTGATTAATTCAATGAGAAGTTAAAATTTATCCGAAGAACTAATATGATAATATTAGCAGTATATATTTTGAACAATATGAAATCTGTTGTGTTAATACACCACATGGTTCTCATGAACTACATCTTCTCATTGTGTGATCCATATGAAGAGTATATGATAATTTTATCAGAAAATTCACGTTTTGTAATCGACCTTTTTTATGTCCTTGGTCTATTTATCCACTAGTTTGTGTTTAATACACAAGAAAGGTAAGAGTTGTCTCCATCTAGTGTATGGCCTTGACATGATATGTTACTCAGTACAACCTTGAGATTTGCAACGGTTGAGTTCGATTCATGGTTGAACGACCTCGAGAGGACAAAGATGAAAACTATCCTGATAAGTTGGCAATTGAAAAGAGAGAGAGAGAGAGAAATAATGTTATATCTTTTGGAATTGTGCCCCTATCAATATATGATGCAATGATACCACCAATTACAGAACAGCAAATTATCGATCGGACCAATAACGCATAAAACCCGTACTGGCAGTCTAAAGTTCTTATCGGTACTTCTTCCTGCCTAGCTCTGCCTGTTGAGTCCAGAACACCAATCTCATCCTCTGCTATGTGAATCATATATTTCAAACATACTAGGTTTATATACAAACCAAACAGACCATATCGGATCACAAAATAGAAAACACCATTTGTACATCTAGCCAAATGTGGCTGTGAATGTGTGAGACTGTTTATTTATATTTATTTATTTGAATACATAAATATTGGTAAAAGGAGACACCACACAAGTCACTTGATTTATGTGTGGGCCGTGATACTGCCTGGGTGCCCAGACCGAAGCAGGTGATTTACTTAGGAGGCCCGGAGCCTCCAACCCATAGGTATGATCCATAAGGTAGTGGAGCAACGTCAGGAGATCCAGTCACCTCTATGAGATATTTTGGAGTTGTATTGTAGTTTTGGATCCATTGTTAATTAGGAATTATAGTTTCTACTAGATATTTGTGGACTGTCGTGTGCTTGTATTATCGCCGACCTATATTTATTTTTCTCCTTCCAGCCTTAAAACTGAAAGCTTCTTCCATACTTTCAACCTTTTGTTTTCCATCCAAGGTTTAGAAGTAGAAGATTTCTAAATATTACGGAGCGGTTAGAAAGTCTGATGTCAACGTGTTATATCAAGTCCTTGAGCCCCTCTGGGGCTACTGGGGGTCCCAAGCTCGGATAAATAAGGAGGGTTGGGCATGGGGTTAGCGATCCCATCCCGTAGAAAATTAACTCGCTAAAAAAACGCTAACCAGAAAAAATTATTCAAACCGTTTAAGCCGTGTTCTGGGAGTTAGGTCTTCATTTAGAAGAGTTGTGACGCCTCATGGTGAAAGCCGAGTTCCTTCGAAAGTCACGAGGCTGACGCCCCTACTGATAACGAGAGCAACCATTAATTTAGGCACATGGAATGCTCATATAATGTGGGAGACGACCAGGCGAGTCTTCCAAATTGCTACAGAAGTGAAAAGATAAAACTTGGAGGTGCTTGGAATATTAAGTCCTTGGCTTATTTTTGTATGTCAACAGTAGTTTTAATTTTTTTTACTAATTAGTCTCCTAACCACTAATTCAATTGGTTACCAACTGATTAGTATAATGATCCATTTTCTTTTGTTTTCCATCTTTCATCTATTTTTGTTTATGAATCCTATAGCCTAATTTCGATTTACATTCCGATTGGATAACTTCACAATTGACCACTTCTATTGGTATTGGTGGAGGTGGACGACCAACTGCTACTAATGGCCAACAACAACAACCTCATATTCTTCTGCCACCATCTTCTACATCAACTATTGTACCTTGTTTTGGACAAGATTTACCTGAGGTCACAAATACTAACATGTTCAGTAGTACTGATGCCAATTGTAATACTAATATTGCTATGAATATAAATACAACTACCTCGAGTATATCAACTACTAATATTACTACTACTACTACTGTTATCACTAACAGTAATAATAATAATAATAATAATAATAATAATAATAATAATAATAATAATAGTTTATTTCAACAATTATGCTTTGAAACACAATGGTCACGAGCTAGAGCTATATGTGATCAATTGAATATTATTTTAGAAGTATGTCAAAGTCAATCACGTCAGTTGTATATGAAACAAAGATCCATTCATAATTGAAGTACATTTATATATACAGACCGTCACTTTGTAAATGAACTTGGATTATTTTATATATATATGTACTCATTATTTCAATTGTATATCAAATTACTTTTCACATGTAACTTCTTGTATGTATGAATGTGTATGCTTGTTTGTTCTCTCTGTGTGTGTGTGTGTGCCCATGATGTCTGAATGAAAAGTGATTACACTCGATGATTGTATAATTTCTAATTTTATTTTCATATAAATCTTAACGCTAACAACCATTCTGCCTTCTTCTCGTTCTTCTTCTTCTTCTTCCTAGATTGGGTTGATTAAATAATTTTTATCGTACCATTGCAACTCATCGTCTATTCATGAAACTAAAATGTTCTTATTTAAATCCTGAACTGATCTAAGTTAGACCATCAGTTAGTC